AATAAGTCTAGATGTGGAAATATAAATCTATGTGTGAAGTAAGGGCTGCTCAAACAGCATTGGGTAATGCCACTAGCAGTCCTAGCAAGGAAATGATGGCTCAATTTCCCTCCACAGAATGGTCTTAATTTTGACTGGTCAGATGGAACCAAATCTTCCTTCACTTTTTGGAAAGATGATGAGTCATCCATCTTGGGTGACTGTGTTTTTGCTGACACCAGTGGGCGCTGGAGTAGCACAGCCTGCGAGTCATTTCTTCAAGGAGCAATTTGTCATGTACCTACTGGTAGGTTCAGTTCTATTCAACTCAATAAATACATACTGGGAACCTACTGTGTGCAAGGCACTGTGCTAAGCAGGAGCTATGAGTAAGAGTAATAAGAAGTATCTGTCCTCAAGAAGCCTCTGGTCTGGTAGGTGCTGTTCAAACAAATAACTATTATACCAGGCAGGGCTACCAAATGATGGAAAAGAGGTAGTAAGTGTTGTGCGGGTTAGCAGGAAAGAGAACACATCATATCCGCTTGAGAATAAGTAGAAAGACTTCTTGAAGGACATGACTATGGAGACTGGCCTTGAAGAATAGATGGGATGTAGTCAGACAATGATGGGACATGGAGAGGCATTCTGAGCAGAAAAGTTTGGGCAAAGACATGGAAGGAAGAAAGGACTGAACATGTATAAAGCAAAGCTGGTGTTGATATTTGCCTGCATGGCAGGGTACCAGTAAGAAGAGGTGGGAGATCAGGCTAGAAACCTGCATTAAGAGCATGTATGAAGGAAAAGCTAATTCTGCTTCTAAAACACCATAAAGGTTATCCTTCCCTTTTCAATAGCATTGTATTTGTTGAGTGTTTAAGAAGTGTCAGACACTAGCTCATTTAAACTTCTTTGTAGGGGCACACTGGTTGGATCAGTCAGTAGAGCATGCAACTCTCAATCTCAGGGTCAGGAGTTTGAGGCCCATGTTGGGCATAGAGATTATTTAGAAGAAAAAAATTTTAAAAAATAAATTTCTCACGTAAGAAAGATATTGTTGTTAGCTCTCTTTTTATAGATAAAGAAACCAAAGTGTGAGGAGGTTAGGTAACATGCCCACAGCCATACACAATTAGGATCTCAGCATGGATTTGACTCTCATGCTTGACCTCTAAAGCAAAGTCCACCTGAAATGTCCCTTAGTTATGTATTATGTTTTGTTATGCTATGTTACTTTACTGAATGCATTATTTTTCTCTCATAGGTTGATTGGCTGGTGAGGATTTTCTAAATCTATAATATTCAGCACTGCACAGATCACATTTTGTACATTTGGAAGTGCCTCTTGCTGACTTCATTCAGTTTCCAGTATTTCCATGAATCACATCCCCCAGTTTTTCCAACCTTTAGGATACCAATTATAAACATGAAAGACAGCAGCACCCAGGCAGCACCCAAACTAAGCCTAAGAAGCTATGCATTAATACACACTGTTATGTGTAGGTAAAGATTATTTTTGCCAGAAATGCTACAAACCAGTCTTGGTTTATAATCATTTTTATTAAACCCACTCTTTCAGAGTATTATCATGAAAATCTCATTACACATATTTATCTTAGTCTGTCATAGAATTTAGTGCAATGTTTATCTTAATAAATGAACCCAGTCATCACCCTAAAATCATAACTGATTTTTGTTCGTAGAAACAAAACCATATGGACATCCAGAGTTGTGCTCAGAAACTTCTATTCCCTGGATAAAATTCAAAAGTAATTGCTACAGTTTTTCTACAGTCCTAGACAGTATGAGTTTTGAGGCTGCTCATGAATTTTGCAAAAAGGAAGGTAATTCTTTTGTGATGGTAAAATGCTTTCAATGCATTCCTTCTTGACATTTCAGTAAACAATGTGGTTTTCTTCATTTGTCTGATTATTTAGTGACTTTAGGAGCAACCAAAAAATTGAAAAGATAAATACTATTGAATTTGCTTGTTTGGGGATGGTTTATCTATGAAATTCAATGTCCAGGATAGAATTTGAAAGCCTAGGATGATGTCTCAGAATACTACACTTTCCCAAGAAAATGTTCCTTTTGAATGCATTTGAATTATAAATTTTTAAAGTTCCCTAAAATTAATATTCTATGCTTTGACTTCTTAAGTACAACCTTGTATCTTTTAATAAATGTGGTATAATTTTTAATCAAAAATCACTTATTTACAATAGAAATTTTCACTCTGCAAAGACTGAGCTTTACAAATTATGGTGGTATAGGAGACATTTTTTAAATTGTATTACACATAAACACAAATACTTATTTACTGCTTATTTCTTTTATAGGATCTAATCTTTTAACAATCAAGGATGAGGATGAAAATTCATTTCTCCTAGAAGAGCTTTTTGCTTTTGGTTCTTCTGTCCAGATGGTTTGGTTGAATGCTCAGTTTGATGGTGACAGTAAGTGATTTGGGTAGAGAAGAGGAGAGGGCATAAATAAATACATGGTGGTCAAGGTTGATGAAAATGGCATCTGCAGGGGCGCCTGGGTGGCTCAGTGGTTAAGCGTCTGCCTTCGGCTCAGGTCATGATCCCAGGGTCCTGGGATCGAGCCCCG